TATATATATATATATATATATATATATATATATATATATATATATATATATATATATAATATGGTCATACAATCCATCTGTGGAAGATCACGGAACGAATCCGGATTAGTTATATGTAAAAGTGAGTTGAGAAATGTGATCATCTGCTGGGGTCACGTATTTCTCACAAAAACTGACCCAAAATTTGCACGAAAAAAGGTTGATAAGAGTTTATGGATTCGAGCAAAAAGAAAGCTAAAGAAAAAGGATGGCTTGCAACGCCCTCATTCGCAACGCTATTTAGCTACTCGCAGTTCAGAACGCATATAATTGCGATCTGATAAGCAAATGGTATAGAAAGACTGGGATTGTGTCCTGACCATCCGGTATTCCGTTAACTGAACGATTATTGAATTTGTCCATTTTCATTAAATGAGGTAGTTCGTATAAGAATAAATATCAAATATATAATCAAGGTGAAAAAGTGAGTGCGGGCTGAGCCGGTGATCGAAACCGGGACCTCTCGCACCCAAAGCGAGAATCATACCACTAGACCACTCAGCCGCTGTTGGGATGCATCTTTTAATTTCAAAAATTTCGAACAGTTGAGAGTAAATTTCAATTTTGAGAATTTGAAGGATTCAAGTTAGATGCGCTCGAAGCTTTATAGCCTTCCACAGGACTAGGACTAAAGCAATGAGGGACTAGTAATTGCTTACCTCCCACCACATCTGCTATAGCGATGGAGAGGAATTGATGAGTTCGGGTGAGTAGCACAGGGAGACTGAGGAAGGGCTAATGTGTCACTTCTGCGTCTTACATGAAAGCAAATAATCACTTTCCGCGCGGAGAGCAATCATTCACGTTTTTGAAAGGTAGATGAAGGAAACTGTTTCCGCTTCTCCGCAATGCCTTCTTGATCTCTTTTCCATTTAATTTCATTCATAATTGACATTTAAGCTTACTTGTTCACTGAGAAATTAGTTTTTTTTTTTTTGTCAAATTTAGAGGAGCATTAGTTTGCTCGAGAGAGATCGAGTCGCGAGATGTGAGCTCAAGAAAGATCGAGTCGAAAAGATCAGGTCAAGAGATGTGACCTCAAGAGAGATTAAGTCGAGAGATATGAGTTCGGAAATGATCAAGTCGACAGGTGTGAGCTCGAGAGAGATCAAATCGAGAGATGTGAGTTCAAAAAAGATCGGTCTAGAAATACGTTTTAAATCGTCGTCCCACCAAATTTCTATCTTTGTGTAAGAAAATTTCTGCAGGGAACACATTTTATTGTCTATTTCATCATTTCATGAATGATTACTTCCAATAGTTTGTACTTAAGTAACTGGTCCAGTTTTTCTTTCTTCGTATATTTAAGTAACTGGTCCAGTTTTTCTTTCTTCGTATTTAAGTAACTGGTCCAGTTTTTCTTTCTTTGTACTTAAGTAACTGGTCCAGTTTTTTTTCTTCATATTTAAGTAACTGGTCCAGTTTTTCTTTCTTTCTACTTAAGTAACTGGTCCAGTTTTTCTTTTTTCCTTTTTTCCACCATAAAATGAATTCATCTGAACTTAGTTCGCTTGTTTAATATATAAAAATTTCCTAAAACTTGACCATTTAATGAGATCCCGCAAACTTGTAACATTGTTAAAAAATAAATCAATATATCCATAAACATTAATCTTAGAAAGCATACTGTAGAATTATTTTTAGCAGTGAATTTCTGATTAAAACGAGATCCACACATTTTTACCATAGCCAGGAATGATATTAAAGAACTGAAATCATGAAGAATCGAACTATTACGATATAGACAATGTTAGGATGATCAAGATAATAGAATACACGATATACGATACGATATACGATATATGATTCTATACGATCATCAGACTGTTCTCATATCGCAATAATTGATATACCATTTTTAGTGCTCATATAATTGATACCATCGGTGCTATTTATGATACCATTTGTAGCGCTCATATTGGAATAATTGATACCATTGGTACCATTTATAGAAAGCACTGGAATGCTGAAATAATCTAAACGTACGTTTGTTACGTAAATTTATAACGTGAAAGATAATGTGTAGCAAAAAGATAACAACTAAGTATACTCGATGTTAATTTGAATTTGCTTATCCTTCCTTCCTTCCGGACAACATTAAAACATTTACATAACTGCTTTGAGTTTTAAATATGAAGAAGTAGCCTATTATATGGTGATATTTACTTATTCCTGAAGTATTAAATATACTTGCAGGTTACATGCATCACGTGACAAATAATCATAACCTAACCTAGTTATAGTTGGACACAGGAGAGAGCTTTACTTTGTGTATGACAAGTTTTAAGTGGAATGAGACGAATTGCATATTCATAAGGACAGTTGAATGATCATATATATTCAGTTACATTTAAATCAAATTCATTTCCTCAAATCAAAATGCTTTTTAATGATTAGCAATAATAATAGATGTAGTAAGTACGGTAATTTTTACTTATTACCATTTCCGCTTTCATGAGGTAAAGTAGCAAAAATAAAGAGAGAGAGAGAGAGAGATAGAGAAAGGAATAATGAAATGTTGAAAAGAAATGTTGACGGCAAAAATGAATTCTTTTATAACTGGATTCTGATCAAACATTAAACAAGTGTTTCTTATGGGTGCAATAATGTGACATGGGACAGGTGCATAAATAAATATACAGCTATCAATGCTTTTCATCAAAAAGGTATGAAAAGTTACGATATATTTGCTTAGGAGTTACAATATCCTAATAGGTATCAACGAGACTTCTTAATGCCTTAGAAGATTAATGTTGGAAGAAGAAAGGAAGAAGGCTCAGATGTACCGACGATATTTTTACATGGCTAACTAAAATAGTTAAAATTTATGTTCAGTTGACAGGGATTCAATTTGGCTCTCGAATTATTTCCTACAATCCGAAGAAAACAATTTTGTTAAAATCATTCTTACAGATGTGATGATTGTGTCGCGCAAAAAAGCATTCGATGAATTCCTACACATCAGTTAGTTATCTCGTTGCAAACTTTGTCGCAGCATATTCAATTTAGTGGTCACAAATAAGTCGTAACGGAAACAAAATGGTTCAAGTTAATTTAAATCTTGAACTTAAAATTTAGCCTAATGTTTGATTGTATGTGTGAGAAAATTTAAGCTAATTGAAAATAACAGGGAAAATTTACATATGCTAATTCCTTGATAATAAACCTAAGCCTAGTAATAAGCTTAGGCTTAGACATCAGCTAGACTGACGATATAACCATTATTTTAGGGATTGATTAAAAGTCCGGTTTGTAAACAGACAGATTTCTTTTATCATAATTAGTCTGATTTCTTTATGAAGCTGAGAGATAACGTTTGCTTTTTTTTTCGGCAGTAAAGTTAAAATATTTTGTTTACTCTGTCCACTGCCCACAATATCTAAATGATTAGATCATGTCATATGCAGCTATTCTTAGCTCTTTTGTCAATCATAGATCAAGTCTTATTGTATCTATCAAGTCAGCATTACTGTCTAATATTTCAAACAAATGCATATTTTGGTTTTGCCCGAATGATAAGTAAGCAATCCAGTAGTTTTCATCTTATTCTTCTTCATTAATTTACCCAATGATACTATTCTGTAATTAATCTAATCGATAATCATAAAAAATCTTTTCCTTTAAAAAAGTTTTTTTTGTCCTCTAAAATAGCTATTCATTCTAAAAAAATTTTTTTACCATAATGTTTTTACTATTTTTTTTTTTTTNTTTTTTT